CTATCTCTCTGTCTGTCTGTCTACCTGACCTGCATTCAGGGGGTAAAAACGAGGGCTTCGCCAGGCTCTTCTCTCTATCTGCAGAGCGACCTCTTTCTCTGATTCACTAACCCTATGTCAATATACGAATGAGCTGCATTTTCCAAGACAGCATTGAGCCCAGTGCAGAACCAAGGCAAGACTCTTACTGGTGGTGATTTCCTCACCCACCAATATTGCCAACCAGGAATATTAACTTGGCTGGATCCAAAATGAACGGATTTGCGTTGATATCTTTTAAAAAGTATTTATTTATTTGAAAGGTAGAATGACAGGGACAGAGGGAGAGGGAGAAAGATCATCTAACTGCTGGTTTACTCCCCAAATGGCCACACCAGTGAGGGCTAGGCAGAAGGTCAAAGCCAGGAGCCAGGGACTCCATATTGTCCCTTACAGTGGTGGCATGGGGAGTATGTGGGCCATCACCCACTGCCTTTCCAGGTGCATTAGCAGAGAGCTGGATCTGAAATGGAGCAACAAGGACTCGACTCTGGTGTGGAATGTTGATATTGCAAGTGGGAGGCATAACCTGATAAGCCACAGTACTGGCCCTGCCTTGGTACCTGTTCGTTTGCTTTGGTGCCATAGTCACACATCTCACAAGCTTGCTCACCAGTGAGACCCATCCCTGGGGATACAGGGGTCTGACACTCTCTCCAGGTGTCCAACCCTCTGCAACTAGCTGGGTTGGTACTTAATGTTAGTTATATCTGAAATGTTATTTTCAAGGGGCAAGGGAAAATCTATGGGCTAATATGAAAATTGATAAAAATCTTGAAGTATTTTCCATTATTTAAAGCCTACAATACTACTGTTGTCTCTACATTACTACTGAATGATCAATGCTTCATCTCTGATCAGTGTTCTGGAAAAGTTCCCTTATAATGAGTAGATTCTGCTTAATTTTGTGTATGTGACTTATGTTATTGTTTAAAACACTAATTAGAAAAAATTAGAAAAAAAATTAGAAAACGGGCAGAGATGACAACTGATGATATCACAGGGGCATGGTGAGACATGGGCAGAAATGACAACTGAGTGTGATGCGTGTGATGCACATTGCTAGATAACATTGATGCCAACATGTCACAGTAGAGTCGTGCAAGGAAAAACCAAGTCTGTAAAATACATACCATGTTAGGCCGTGGTAAGTGTTGTGGGAAAAACAAAATAGGGCTGAGGGACTGGGGGACAGGTGGGAGAGCTCCAGGGATGTGTATAGCAGCTTTCATGTGAGGGCCATCCCGGCAGGGTAGCTGTGGTTAGGAGGGGAGGAAGCAGGGCACAGACTGAGAAAGGCCTGGTGGGTACGTGGGCAGAGACACATTCCCGTTAAACCACTCTAAGCCATAAGAGTAAGCAGATATGCTTTGAGAGGCCTTTGTGGTCATTCAAGGACATTGTAAGCCACAGTCCTGGCTTCAGAACTGCATTCCTTGTATATCAAACCTATTTTCTTTGTTACAGTATGAACTATATAAATTACAGGACTCTGGGTTCAGTCAGGAATGCGCTTGTGATAAATTCCATGCAAGCTAAAAAATTGCCTATCTGCTATTTCAGCCAACTTCCAATTGTGACAATTTATACAGATATATAACTTACATATTTACGCAAATACATATTTACAGGGAAATCCATCATGGCATTGTTTGCAAGAGCAAGAATTTTGAAACAACTGAAAGGACCAATTAGGGACAGGTTAAATAAATTATGGCACATTCATGGACTGGAGTATAGACAGCTGTTTATTAAGAGTGAGGTAACCTTCACTCTAACAACCAATAGGAAACAATATCCATGATGAGTTTAAAAAAAAAAAAAAAGGCAAGGTGTACAAGAATGAGTGTAATAGGCTAATCCTCCGCCTGCGGCACCGGCATACTGGGTTCTAGTCCTGGTCGGGGCGCCGGATTCTGTCTTGGTTGCTCCTCTTCCAGGCCAGCTCTCTGCTGTGGCCAGGGAGTGCAGTGGAGGATGGCCCAAGTGCTTGGGCCCTGCGTCCACATGGGAGACCAGGAGAAGCACCTGGCTCCTGGCTTCGGATCAGTGTGGTGCTCCAGCCGCAGCGCACCGGCCACAGCGGCCATTGGAGGGTGAACCAATGGTAAAAGAAGACCTTTCTCTCTCTCTCTCTTGCTGTCCACTCTGCCTGTCAAAAATAAATAAATAAAATAAAAAAATTGTAGGTATATAATAGTTCCATAAAATAATACGCATATGTGTGTAGAGACTTTCAAGAGGAATATTTCACTGGAAGCCCTGCGTGTTGTGTTCCCAGCATGCATCTGGAGTCCCATCTCCCCTGGTGACAGTCACCAGAGGACAACGTGTCAGCTAAGAGGAATATTTCTAACTCTGGTTGCAGATTGGTGGTTAGGTAATGGGAGTGGGAAGGATGCTTTCTTTTTTATTATATGCTCCTTTTCACCACTTGAATTTTGTTCAAGTGCATGAATTTCCTATTAAGTGTTTTCTTAGGAAGTCAGCATCATGATATTTTAAAACTAGTTGTATATAATAATACATCCTTTTCATCGTGTCTGTTTTTTCTAAGACTTAAAAAATGTTTTTCCCAGTAAAATTTATCTTGTGGCATCAAAAAAGATTCATAAAAGCATCAGATCATGTATATTTCTTTACTTTGGAAAAGTACATTATTATCTGTACTAATTATGGTTTACAATACTGTAATTAGGAAAATAATGTAATTAGGTCATGGCATGAAAAATCTAGTGGAGACTTGTTGGTTTATGTGCTGAAGTATGTTCATTTATCAATAGTTTTACTGGCTTTGACTTCATTTTGTATCGCTATTTAACAAAGTTCTTTGGACATTTATTTGTTTTAAAGAGGTCTTTATGGTTATGGAATGCTGGCCCTAATAAAGTCTACATATCCATTCTGATTAAAAAGGAAAAACAAAGCATCACTATAAATGTTAGTTTAGGGACAAGAGTCTGTGTATTTAAAATGGAATGTTGTTATTATTAAATTTTTAAGCACTCTAAATTGGAGTATCTTTTATTTTGTTTTGTTTTTTTTAATTAGCAATAAATATTTGTAAATTATTAGTAGTATTTTAAATGCTTAATTAGTTCTTAACAGATTCAATACGGTTTGTAGATGCAATTCTAAGAACATAATGATATTCCTTTCCTTCTTCCTCCTTTCTCCCTCTCACGCTAAATTGGAGTATCTTTTAATTGCAATTTTGTAAATGTTTATTGTTCAACCAGTAGGCCCTGGTCGTTGAGCACTGTTTTAGGCACTGTTGGACCATTGAAGAATTCTTTCTTCTTGTTTTTTTTAGTTTATTTTATTTATCTGAAAGTCAGAGTTACAGAGAGACTAGGAGAGAGAGAGAGAGAGAGAGAGAGAGAGCAAGAGATGAGAGAGATGGTTCACTCCCTAAACGGCCTCAATGACCAGGGCAAGGCCAGACCAAAACCAGGAGTCAGGAGCGTCCTCTGGGTCTCCCACATAGGTACAGGGGCCCAAGCAGTTGAACCATCTTCCACTGCTTTCTCAGGCCATTAGCAGGGAACTGGATCAGAAGTGGAGCAGCCGGGACTTGAACCAGAGTGCATATGTGAGGCTGGTGTCGCAGGTGGTGGCCTTTTCTGCTACACCACAATGCTGGTCCCTCTTCTTCTTTTTTCAGGAAGGTGGCATAGTTAATGAAGAGAGAGTCCCAGAAATGATTCAGGGCAAGTATTTGATATTTGGGTAATTGTCCAAGTTTATAGCAGGTAGTTGCATGTTCATAGGTGCAGGTTCACTAAAAACTCTGCCTCTTATTGTATGTGATTTTAAGCAAGTTGATTAAGCTTTAGTTTCTTCATGTCAAATGGGGCTATGGTAATAATACCTGGAGCACTGTTTTGGTGATTCAAAGATACATGATGCCTGGCGTAGCAGTACAGGTGCCTGCTTCCCACGTCAGAGCGCCTAGGTTTGAGTCCTGACTCTGCTTCCAGTTCTAGGTTCCCACTAATGCAGACCCGGGGGAGCAGTGGAGATTGGGTTTCTGCCATCCTTGTAGGGGACCTGGATTTGGATTCCAGCTCTTGACTCTGGTCTGGCCCAGCCCCAAACATTGAGAGCATTTCGAGTGAACCTGCAGATGAGAACTTCCATTTTTTTTTTTTTATTTCTTAAAAACATTAGAAAACAACAACAACAAAAAACTATGGAGAGTGAAGACAAGGAGTGGATGCAGGGGATGTTTGGGAATGCAGGGGACAGAGGCTGGTTAGATTAATATACACAACTAGGAGGCTGGGTGGAGGGAGTGGTGCAGGAGCTGAGGGTACCGAGGGCTTGATCCTGGGCATCCTGCTGGAGACTGAGCCTGGTCTGTCAGAGGTGTGGTGGAAAGCATACAGACGATAGAGACCAAAGGAAGGTTTGGGCAGGAGGAGGACTGAATGGCCATGGGGTCAAGGGAGGAATTGAAGACACTTGGGCAGGTGAAGAGTCTTAGCAATGACAGACTAAATAGAGGCGCCAGAGGGCACAGAGCCAAGACAGAGCGAGGCGGGACTGAGTTTTGTCAAGCAATGCAGGTCCTTCTGAGACAGGTGGAGAGGCAGACAGGATGACGTAAGTGAGTCAGGTTGTGGAGGGAGGGGAGGCAGAAGGGCTCTGTGGCTGTGGGTAGGAGATGATCGGCTGGGTGTGTGTGTGTCTGGAATGAGACGTTAGGCTTTAGCCCAAGGGGGCGCGGATTGAGAATATGCATTCTGGCAAATGGGAAAAAGTCGTTGGCTTGGGAGCTAGATGCCCTGTCTGGGATGCAGGTGTCACATAAATGGTGGGGTTCTTTCCACCAGCAGCCTGGGCCTTGGAGGCCAAAGGAGAGGAGGCCTCAGCCACTTCCCTGGGAACCCCAAGTTTTTCCTCCTAGGTTAGGAAAAACAAATACAAGCTGAGTGGCTTATGTTTCTTTGCTTCCGAAGGTAAAACCAGTAATCCACAGCAGGATCAACGTGTCGGCACGCTTCAGAAAGTCGCTGCAGGAACCCCGCACGATCTTGTAAGTGGGAGCCCCTTACATTTCCGGTTGAAACTGGCTTGGTGGCTCCCTTTCGGTTGGGAGTTTGCTGTGTGGCTAAAGGCTAACAGTTCCGCACGGCCCGGCTTCTTGTTTCCTAGCCTGATTGCAAACGGAGACCTCATAAACCCAGCTTCCCGCCTCCTCATCCCGAGAAAAGCCCTGAGTCAGTGGGACCACATACTACAGATGGTCACGGAGAAGATCACGCTGCGGAGCGGGGCCGTCCACAGGTCTGTGAAGCAAACCTTCCCTTGGAGCATGGGCTCTGGAAGCCAAGTCGCCTGCAGCGGGCCCTGCAGTCCCTGGTCCACAGACACTCTGTGTGCCTCAGTCTCTCTGTCTGCAGAATGGACGTAGAATAGTACTCACCTCGGGAGTTGTTTCAAGGAATGTAGTAACAAAGAGCATGAAATAGTTCTTGGCACAGGGTAGCACGCTAGTAAATATAAGCTGTATTTATTCTTTTGGTCAAGAGTATAGGCCAGCCGGCGCTGCGGCTCACTAGGCTAATCCTTCGCCTTGCGGCACCGGCACACCGGGTTCTAGTCCTGGTCGGGGCGCCGGATTCTATCCCGGTTGCCCCTCTTCCAGGCCAGCTCTCTGCTGTGGCCAGGGAGTGCAGTGGAGGATGGCCCAAGTGCTTGGGCCCTGCACCCCATGGGAGACCAGGAGAAGCACCTGGCTCCTGGCTTTGGATCAGCGCGGTGCGCCGGCCGCAGCGGCCATTGGAGGGTGAACCAACGGCAAAGGAAGACCTTTCTCTCTGTCTCTCTCTCACTGTCCACTCTGCCTGTCAAAAAAAAAAAAAAAAAAAAAGAGTAAAGGCCAGCTTTAACTTTTTTTAAAAGATTATTTATTTGAGAGGTAGAGTTATAGACAGTGAGAGGGAGAAACAGAGAGAAAGGTCTTCCATCCGTTGATTCACCCCCCAAATGGCCGCAACAGCTGGAGCAGCACCAATCTGAAGCCAGGATCCAGGAGCTTCTTCCAGGTCTCCCACATGTGTGCGGGGGCCCAAGGACTTGGGCCATCTTCTGCTTTCCCAGGCCATAGCAGAGAGCTGATTTGGAAAAGGAGCAGCCGGGACTAGAACTGGCAGCGCAGGTGGAGGATTAACCTACTGCACTGTGGCGCTGGCCCCAGCCTTAACATTGTTTAGTTGGGAAGGAGTCTTTTGAAAGAGGCAGCTCGTTAAATCTTAACTATTCTTTTTATCCAGGAGATATTTATGATTATTTGATGGTCTGAACTATCTGATTAGGGTAAAAAGAAGCCATCAGATCTCAGGAGGTGGGTTTAAGGAGGAGACAGGTGAGAGGATTTATCTCAAGATTCCAAAGCATTTCTCATAGGCTTGAAATCCTGAAGCCTAGGAAATTTTCCTTTAATGGAGGTTGACATTTATTTTCTTTCAAGAGTGGGAAGGTTACAAATAATATAGACACTTGTGCAGCATATTGAAACGGTGAGTGTGTAGGTATACCTGTGTGTGTGTGTATGCACACTCACATGTACACACACATTTGAAAATCAATCAAGAGTTTTCTGGTCGTTCTCCTTGATACCTATCTTTCCCCGAGTCTTTCCAGAGGATTTTTCAAAAAGTTCATGGAAAATAGAATTAATTTTTTTGGTGCAAAAAATTTTTGAAATCATAAATTTTTCATATTATCCATTTTGCATGAAAGCTTGTAAGACCCTTTGATATATGATTTCCATTTTTGGGGGTCCCAGACCAGACTTATCTTTTAATTCAGTTTTTTCATGAATTAGTTGAAGTATCCTGGTATACTGCAGAGTACACACTTGCTTTCAAGTTCTTAGAACTGTTTTCATATACTCCTATATAAAAATACATAAATATATACACACATGTTAAAATGGACTATAAAATGATAGCATGTCTTTTAGTTATGCATATTTATATATTGATATATACAGTTTCACAGCCTTTGAGATTTTAAACATAACTAGGAATTTTAATTGAAAGTAATACTTTGTGACAAAAAGTTTAAAATAGAAGAGAGGGTCTAAATAAAAATCATTTGTCTCATATCAGGCTCCTCCAGTCCCCCTCCCTAGGATTTTTTGGTATCATTACAGAAATATTCCATGCATACACAAGGAAGACAACTTTTGTTTCTTAAAAATACAAATGGGGACATACCTACATACATACATATGTGTACATAAAAAATTGAGCGAATGAATGGTCATCCCCTGATATCTCTGGGGAATTAGTTTCAGGACCCCTCTGAGATACAAAAATCTATACATGCTCAATTCCCTTAAACCAAATGGCATAGTAGGGGCAGGTGTTTGGCCTAGCATTAAGATGCTGCTTTAGACCCCTGCACTCCTCAATGGAGAGCCTGGTTTGAGTCTTGTTTTGTTTTTGATTCCAGTTTCCTGCTAATGTGAACCTTGGAAGGTATGGGTGATGACTCAAGTAGATGGGCTCTTGCTACCCACAAAGGAGACCTGGATTGAGTTTCTGGTCCCTGGCTTTGGCCTGCCCCCCCGCCCCGTTCCTCTCAAATAAGTAAAAATAAATAAGCTAAATAAGATACAAGTTAAATAATCAACATGGTATGGTATTTTCATATAACTGACTCTCATCCTCCAACATACTTTAAATCATCTCTGGATTAATTCTAATACTTAAAAATATAAATTCTATATAAATAGTGGTTATTCTGTATTATTGATAGAATAATGACAAGAAGAAAAAATCTGTGCATTGTTAGTGATGAAGTAGTTTTTATTTTTCTAAATATTTCAACCCATGGTTGGTTAGCTATGCAGCTATGGAGCCCTCAGAAACAGGGACTGCTGGTGTATATGCATACATCTTTTTTTTTTTTTTTATCCTGTGACCGCAAATCTTAAAGATGATCCTTTGTACAATTTAGTGATATCCTGATATTTTTATGATTAAAATGTGTTCCATTGTATGAGAGTATGCTAATTTAAGTCTTTTGGAGGGAATTAGGTAATTCCCCATCTTTTGCTATTATATACATATACCTGTGTTTTATTTATTTAATATACTTCAATATCTGTTGATTATTTCTCATGAGCCAGGTATTATTCCAAGTGCTTTCCATTTTTTGACTTAATTAGCTCAGTGACCGTATGAGCTAAGTAGTGTTATTGTTCTCTTTTAATAGACATGAAATTTGAGACACAGAGGCAGATGGTGACTTGCCCAAGATTGTGTTGATGCTGAGTAGCAGGGCTGGGAATCAAGTGCAGTAAACAGTCTGACTCCAGAGCCTGTGCTATTAGCCTCCAAGTTACTTGCAAAACAAATGCCATGTACTTGTATTTCATTATCTATGTACTTTTTCTATCAGCCATGGCTTTTACACATTTATCTTATTGATTTATAGGCACTCTTTACATATTAGGAAATTTTTACCCTGTTCATGTGAATTTTAAATGTCTCCAGCTTGCACTTTCTTTATACTTTTTTGCATGTAGATAAATGGAAGTTTGAAGTAGACAAATTTTCATTCTTTCTTTATGAGCATTAGTTTATAACTAGCTTAGATCTTTCTCACTTGAAGATTATACAAAATATTCTCCTATGTTTTATCTTATATTTAAAAAATTTATTTAAACCTTTGGTCCTCCTGGGTTTTATTTTTTGTCAGGAATGAAGGCAGATCTCAACAATTATATATTGACTTTTTTGAATATATAGTTTTATCTTTTGACATACAATAAATGTAAACTCACCCAATAAATAATATAAAGCACACAAAGATACACACACAATTTCTTGTCCAGATGCACCTGTTCGTACTTGTGCTAATGAACAAATTCATACATAGACATAAAATCTGTGCAGATACCAATTAGAGATAAAATGTAGTTATGTGTCCCCCAGACACTTGAGTACTCAGGGAAACTGGGTCCTAATGTGACGCCAGGTAAGAGCAAGCTTTGGTGCTGCTCACTTGGAACCTGTCCCTTTAACAGAACAACAGAGTGGTCCTGGTGGGATCTTCTCCATGCATCAGTTTATTTCTATATCAGAAGCATATACAGAAATCAGTTAGACTCCCTGTTCGTGTTTCTTTGCCTTATAAAAAAAAGAGCAGCTGGCGCCGCGGCTCAATAGGCCAATCCTCCGCCTGCAGTGCCAGCACCCCGGGTTCTAGTCCTGGTCGGGGCGCCGGATTCTGTCCCGGTTGCCCCTCTTCCAGGCCAGCTCTCTGCTGTGGCCAGGGAGTGCAGTGGAGGATGGCCCAAGTGCTTGGGCCCTGCACCCCATGGGAGACCAGGAGAAGCACCTGGCTCCTGGCTTCGGATCGGCATTGTGTGCCCGCCGTAGCGGCCATTTGGGGGGTGAACCAATGGAAGGAAGACCTTTCTCTCTGTCTCTCTCTCTCTCTCTCTCACTAACTCTGTCTGTCAAAAAAAAAAAAAAAAAAAGATTTATATAAAAAAAAAGAGAGCTAAAACCATGGGGTAGAATTTATTCAATACCTTTTACCTATCTGCAGAGGAAACCAGTTGAATCTTGGCTGTTTCCAGAGTCCACAGCTAGGCTGCCTTTTAATGCCTACCCATAAAAGTTAACTACTGATTCAGATCTAATGATCTGAAGGCAAATGAAAGAAGAAAGTCTGGCTCTGGGCCAGCGGTTCTCAACCAGGCGTGATTTTGCCCCCTGGGGACACTTGGCTGTCTGGAGCCATTTCTGTGGTCCTATTTAGGGGTGGGACTGGCGACTACCGCCTGGTGAGTACAGGCCAAAGCCGCTGGGTAACATGTCATGGTGGACAGGATGATTTCTCCAACAAAGGGTCATCTGGTCCAAAAATGTCAACAGTGCCACTACTCAGAAACCTTGAAGTAGGTCAAGGTGGAGAGGACTGAATTACGTGTCGAGGGTAGAAGCACAATGCTGTAGTGAAAGAGATTTCACATCTGTGTGCTAACTAAAGATACAAACATTGCCAGGATTTTTTTTTTGAAGATTTTATTTATTTATTTGAGAGGCAGAGTTACAGACAGTGAGAGACAGAGAGAAAGGTCTTCCATCCACTGGTTCACTCCCCAAATGGCTACAACAGCTGGCAAGGAGCCGATTCAAAACCAGGAGCCAGGAGCTTCTTCTGGGTCTCCCACGCAGGTGCAGGGGTCCAAGGACTTGGGCCATCCTCCACTGGCTTTCCCAGGCCACCGCAGATAGCTGGTTTGGAAGAGGAGCAGCCCGGGCTCAAACCAGCGCCCATATGGGATGCCGGTGCCACAGGTGGAGGATTAACCTACTGCGCCACAGCGCCAGCCCCACATGGCTGGGATTTTGATGGCTATCTTCTTTGTACTTCATGGCTCCATGCGATGTGGCCATTTATGCAATTGGTACACAAACTGATAGATCAATGAATTATTATTATTATCTTAATGCCTTTATAGATGGTACTAGCATTAATTATGTAATATAAGAAGATTAAGAATTGCAAAAAAAAAGAGATTATCTTGAAATCCTTCCAGTAACTAACTCTTGTTTAGAACCTTCAAAAATATACATCGCTCTTTTCTGTTCTAATTTTCTAATACTGTTTTCCGTGTTCTTTAAAATAATTCTTTAAATCACCTAGTGAAATTATCACTGTTTTTAATAAGTAACATATTAACTAGTTTATGGCAGCGGTTTTACAGTAAAGGGAGGTTCTTGTGAAACCCCCAGTTCTGGGACGGCCTAATGTTCATTCTCTTGCTGAGGCGGGACGGCAGGAAAAGAAGGAAGCATGAATGCTATGCAGTTCTGCATCATTAATTCTCGCACTGGGCTTTTCCTCCTGTCCACTCAGCCCTTTTTTTGTGACCCAGTTCTGTGTGCGGGTTTGGATGTAATACTTTGCCCCGGAGGGGGATATTCCTACACAGAATGTGGTCAGAAACTTGTCAGTCAAACACACAAAGAAAATAAATCTTAAAAGCACTCACAAAATATAAATAAGAAAACAATTTTCAGTGGAAGCTGAATTTTATTGGATGTAAAGGACCACATTCTGTACAAGTTAAGTTTTCTTTCTAAAATGTTAGTATGACATCAAGAGAGAATCCTCAGGCTCACTGGGGTAAAATCCTGTATAGCTAGATAGTAACTGTGTGTGCATTATAATGTTGGTATTTAGTTGAATTTAATGACTTAGAGGCATTTGTAACTCAATAATTAGAAGAGGAACAGAATCAAATTAAGAACAGTATGTTTTTATTTATTTTGTAATTTCAAGCAGGTCTTTAAAGGGTCATTAAAATTCTAACTCTTGGCACTAATGTTTTGACAGACTTTATACTTTAGAAGGAAAGCTTGTGGAGAGTGGGGCAGAGCTGGAGAATGGGCAGTTTTACGTGGCTGTCGGCAGAGATAAGTTTAAGAAATTGCCTTACAGTGAATTACTTTTTGACAAGTCAACAATGAGAAGGCCTTATGGGTAAGTCTTCTTCCTTATTCTCTCCCTTGTCATGCATGAAATAGTGCCACTACTGTATTTGATGGGATGGAGGATCTTATTTTTAAGTCAGAATAGAAAGCACATTTGGTATGTTCAGATTGTCATTGTTTTTATTGTCACCATGGTAGGTTGAGAACTATTGCACAAAAATATAATGTTTTTTTAATTTGTGAAATACTGCATAGTAATTCTTTTTCTTTTTACCTTGCACTGAATCTCTAGTAAACAGAGAGCTAGTCTTGTGAGGAAGATACAGATACGACCTTCTCTACAGCAAATGTTATTTGAAGGTTTAATGTCTTAATGGTTTAACTAGACCATATCATCTTTCAGTGGATTTGGACATTTAAAAGTATTATATATTAAAAAAAATGATATTTTACACCCTTTTTAAAAATTGTAAAACACAAAAACAACATGATGTCACATGTGCAAATAGAGGCACTAGCTATAGTTAACATAAGCAAAGAGGGTTACACTTTTAATCGCATGCAGTGTACAGTGAGTATTTTCCTATGTGAGAAGTCACATGCTTGTGAGCGATGCTGTATTTCAGCTGAGCAGGTGCACTGCAGAGCCACAGGCGGTGAGTCCGGGCCCCAGACACAGGTACCTCTTGGCCTGCCCAGGTGCCCAGGATCTATCCCTGTTGCTTTTCAGAGAGATTCTGTGGCCGCTGTGCTGTTGGCAGCTGACTCTGTGTGGTCATCCCCTGCAGAGTGACACCAATGCGCTTTCCATTGACTCACAACTTGTGTAGCTTGATGGGGAGGCTAGCCCAGGGCTTTCAAGTAAGTAACAGATGAAATGGAAGTTTAGCCGTGGCGTTTGAACTTTACAAGTGCACATGGTTTCTTGGCCCTTTAGAATTCTTCTCCAGCACACTTGCTGCTAGCCACCCTTACTCATGCATGAAATCAAATCCTTTAATGATCTCTGCTAAGCAGCACGGAGTAACCTGCTGTGAGCTACGGTGTGTTCTTGATGGTAATAGGAAAAGTTGGCCCTTCTCACACGAATAAGTAAGATTTACCTTTACATGTGGCCTCCTGCTTTGGAAGATGTTCAGTTGGGTTTCAAGACATACCTAGTCCTAAAAATATAGACAACTTATTCCTATAGTCCAAAAGAATCTTTCTTCCTTTTTAGTGAGAGTGACTGATTTAAAAGCTCCCTGAGCATAAATATTGGAGCTTTCCCATCCTGCTCATCTATCAGAGGTAGACATAATGATGTTTGCTTTTAGCCCAGTCTGGGGAAATCCTTACTTGGCTTGGGAAATGTTTTGAAATGCAAATAGAAAGTTTTTGGATTTTAATACAAGTTCTCTGAAAAATATAAAGTAGTCCTAAGAGCTTATTTGTAAGCATTGGTTAAAATAGAATCCAGGAAAATATTTAAAAATTTTTGGAATGGAATTAGAACTTTCATAGTCTTTATAAAATTGGGAAGGTCTGAGGGATTTCTTGTGAAGCTCTGTTGACGGCCAGGTTGGAGTGCCAAGTTTGGATGACCATAACCTTGCGTTGAGTGTAATTTGTAAACAGCGTTCGGATTTCTAACTTGCAATTTGTTTCCACAGTCAGAAAGCTTCTTCACTACCTCCTATTGTAGGATCCAGAAAGTCTAAAGGGAGTGTAAGTATCAGATGCTTCGCTCATTAATGTTCTTTATTTTTGTATGAGAGAGAGAAACAGTCCTTTGGGTTTCAATTAAATTCAAAGAAATAAAGCTTAAGCACGTTGTGGCATATCAGCAATTATGTGAAACAACACTCAAACTTTAATGTTACATGTTAGGAATTAAGTTCCTAAAAGACAGGTAACATTTTTAGAATACAGATTTCAAAATTTTTTTTCCTTCTATGTGCACCTGTTATAATTTATATCATGGTTGAAATCTGGGAAATAAGAACTACCATATTAGGTCATATCAGTGGTCAACCCAGTCTTGTTTATTGTTGTGACAAAGACTAAAAAGGAAAGATTTGAAATGATGAATGTCTGATGTGGTAGATATGCCAATTGCTCTGATCTGCTCATTATGCAACGTATAACCTGTATTGAAATGCCACACTGTGCCTTTTAAGACCAGTATGTATAATTACTGTGTGTCAATTAAAAATTAAGAAAAAAATAGAAAGAGAATTTTGGTAATCAAAGGATAAGCCTCAGTTAACATTCCTCTAAAAGATTGAGAATCATCCCAGATATTTAGTTCTCAATCTATCATTCATTCATTGTTAATTAGTTCAGCAGTGACTAAATACATATCCATCACGTGGGGGCTGTGACAAGCATTTAGTGTGCCATTTCTTAACCTGTGTGTATCTTCACCCTCCCCTCCCCGTGGGGATGCATTCCTTGTTTTGTCGGAGCTTCGGAGCTTCGCTGCTGCAGCTGTTTGTGGCTAAAGCCTCTCCTCCACCCCTCTGGAACCGAATGCCTACTCAGTGGAGATCAAAACTGACTTGGCACCCCTCCCTGTCTAAATAAGCAGCATTCTTATACTGGCGATTCATAAAATACATAATTGCTGGGCAATGATGCTGTCTCCGATGATGATGATGTCGAGATCTCTCCTCACCCCCACTTGTGACTTCACGTGAAATTCCTGAAAGACAGGAACATAATTTTTGTGTGTGTGACCAAGTAGTGCTGAACGTAGCCCAACGTTTATGAGCCTCTCATTCGCTGAGCTCCTCAGACTATTTGTATGAGCGACCACCTAAGTTGGCTAAACACCAAATACGTATGTGGGTGAGATCAGAAACAAAGGAGGGAGGGAGGGATTCAGTGTATGTTGGCAGACGCTCACGGAGGAAGTGAAACTTGGGCTACTCCTTAGTGGATTATTTAAGATGTAGGTAAAAGGGGAAAGGGACCGCGAACAGAAGGGATGGAGAGGCGATCACGTGGGTCCTTGTGAACAAGCGTGGGGTTGACACCAGGCCAGCTCTTTCACGAGTTATTTATTTCATCCTTACACCTCGAGGCAGGTCAGTTTGTCATCTGCAGTTAACAATGAGAAAAGAGTGGAATGACAGGTCTAATGGCTCCTTCTGAGCAAATGGCCAGGGAAAGATTGAACGCACGCAGCCCACCTGGAGCCGCTGCTCCTGCCTAGCGCAGGTGGTCCAACAGGTGTGTGGGGAGGTGGGTATGCCTGGAATATGGTGGGTCATGGTGGTTTCCAGACAGCGCAGGTGGCTCGGAGCACCAGAGTGAAGAGGCTTAGTCTTCATCCTTGAATGCAGCGTGGTGTGGCGCTTCAGGGTCTCTGAGAGGCGAGAACGTTAGTCCAAGTCCATGGTAGAAAGTCAGCCGCCTTATGTGCAGAAAGACAAGACGGTGAGAGGCCACAGCTAGCCAAGTCAGAGATGGGAGGTGATTGCTGTGGCCTTGGCCTGTGGTGCTAAGGGCCAGACCAGGGAGGTAGCTGAGTTCTCGGGAACCATTTATGGTTCACGAACAAAGGGCTTGCTTGGTGACTGGGGATGCAGAGTTAGTGGAGAGGTTGGAGCCAGAGGTAACTGCAGGATGCGAGTTTGGATGCCTGAGGTCGTTTCAAGGCCTAGAGAGGGCGGTCAAAGAGGTAAGACCGGGCTGGCGCCGTGGCTCAATAGGCTAATCCTCTACCTAGCGGCGCCGGCACACCAGGTTCTAGTCCCGGTCGGGGTGCCGGATTCTGTCCCGGTTGCTCCTCTTCCAGGCCAGCTCTCTGCTGTGGCCAGGGAGTGCAGTGGAGGATGGCCCAAGTGCTTGGGCCCTGCACCCCATGGGAGACCAGGAGAAGCACCTGGCTCCTGGCTTCGGATCAGCGTGGTGCGCCGGCTGCTGCGCGCCAGCCGTGGCGGCCATTGGAGGGTAAACCAACGGCAAAGGAAGACCTTTCTGTCTCTCTCTCTCTCACTGTCCACTCTGCCTGTCAAAAAAAAAAAAAAAAAAAAAAAAAAAAAAAAAAAAAGAGGTAGGACCTGCTTCATTCCAGACATGTGGAGTTGGAATGTGTGACTCTGGCCACATGTGGTCCTGGCTAAAGGACAGGGACGGCATCAGGTGGTGTCCTAGCACCCAGCCCTCCCTGTCATGGAGCAGGCTCACTGATAATTCTGAGCAAGAGCAGGGAGGAGGGGAGCCCCACGCAGGAGCCACAGGAGATGCAGACTGAAGGCAGCCGGGCCACGTGGGGAGAAGGGGGAAAACAACGATCCGGTAACTGGCAGACATGTTTTACCAACCATGTAGCCACACGGAAGCCATGAACTTAGGGTTTGGGGATTGCATTTTGTTCTCTTGTTAATTCCCAGGGTACAGCAGCCAGGGTGATGGTTGACAGAGGCCCAGTGTAATTGAGTAACTGACCCAGGGTGACAGAGAAAGCCCTGTTAGGATTAAGATCATGACTCAGCTCCTTGCAGTCACAGCTGCTGAACTTTGGAATCAGGTGCTGCTCACTGTTCAGAAATTTGAAAAATCCAAATTTTCCATTAAAGATGTGTAATGCGTTTCTTGCTTTAAAAGGCACCTACGGCTATGCACATGCCGTTTTCTTTTTTGCTCCCTTGTTTGGATTTTTTTTTTTTTTTTAAGAATCTGAGCTTTGAAAACTGGTTCACTTGATGATTGAGTTTTGCATGTGTCCAGCAGGGTGCTTAGCCCCGCCCCTCCACGGGAGATGGGGGTAGCACAAAAACGTGACACTTAAGCAGAGACTCACAGCTACAAGGTACATTTCCACCCCACAGGAGCAGTCTCATGATTACCAGTCATATTTCTTTCTTTCTTTTTTTTTTTTTTTTTTTTTTTTTTGGAGAGGCAGAGTGGACAGTGAGAGAGAGAGACAGAGAGAAAGGTCTTCCTTCCATTGGTTCACCCCCCAAATGGCCGCTAAGGCCGGTGCACTGCGCCAATCCAAAGCCAGGAGCCAGGTGCTTCCTTCTGGTCTCCCATGCGGGTGCAGGGCCCAAGCACTTGGGCCATCCTCCACTGCCTTCCCGGGCCATAGCAGAGAGCTGGACTGGAAGAGGAGCAACCGGGACAGAATCCGGGGTGCCGGTGGCACAGGCGGAGGATTAGCCAAGTGAGCCGCGGCGCCGGCCAAGTCGTATTTCCTTTCTATGACTTAGAAAAAAAGAATGCTCCTCTCCCCCTTTCCACAATGTTCCCCCAACACTCTGTTATCCTTCCACTCAACCACTCGCTGAATCAGGCTCTGATACATGTTTGCTGAGTACCTAGTAAGTCCAGGGACTCCTCCAGGCATCAAGTATAGGGTGGTGAACACACCACACACCAGGACTCGGCTCTCACGGGACGTTCATCCAGCTGCCTCTGAGTGTAGGGCGAGCGGGTGGGAAAAACAGGAGTTCGCAAGACAGGCGCATCAACTCACAAACAAAGGCATACATAATTTCAGACAATGATGGGCGTGGTGAGCAAACTAGAATGAGGCAGGGCACTGATTGATAGGAAGTCCTCCCGCGTTGTCCTAAGAAGCCGTCGTCATGCAGGAATGGGGCAGCGGGAAGAGCATCCAAAGCAGGAGAAACAAAGCTCCCGGGCCGGCGGTGGAGCCCGGCTCTAGGGGAGCACAGAAAGAAGCCAGGGCTGCCTGGAGCCAGGTTGGAGCGGCAGGCAGGGCCCTTGCAAGTAATCCCGCAGTAGGGTGACATTTGGGAGTTATGGAGGACAGGATGGCACTCGATTTACACTGGTAAAACCTCTTTCTGGCTGTAGCATCCTAGGGGAGGAGGATCGCGGGGGAGGGGCGCAGGCAGGGAGGAGGGAGCTGGAGCGCAGGTGTGTGGTGCAGGTGACAGGTGACGGCTGGGGGCCACCTAGTTACCTAAGTCTGCCCTGAGTGTGTTCTCACTGACTGATCGGCTCACCCAGCAGCTGTTCATTGAGTGCACTTTAAAGCCCTGGTTCTAGTACTTGGGGGTCCGGCGATTCCAAAAACACTAACGCCAGAGAGGTCAGAATCTAGAGGAGACAGATTCACAAGGTGTATGACGTCCACCAGGGATGAGCCTGAAGAGACGGGGAGAGAAACGGAGGGAGAGAGGGAGCGGGTCCCAGCGTGGTGCCGGGGTGCACAGCCGCCTCCTGCTAGAACATCCCTCACGCCCGGAACTCCAGGGTCGCAAGAGGGGAGATCACTCCTTTAAGTAACTGCTTCCTGGGAGGAGAAGGCTCTGTGTCCATCGGTCACAAAGGGTCTGGCTCTGGGAGCAGCGCAGGGAGCCAGGGGCTGCGTGGGGACAGCCGCGCCTCCTGCGGTGGGAATCACCCTGGTCCCCGGGAGAGCGCGGGGGACACAGGGCTGGGTTTCCGCGTGGGTTTCTCCTACACGCCTTTCTGGGAACAGCTCCTGGAGGGAGAGACCGCGAGCTGTCTGCGCCGCGACGCCTAGGGCTGGGTGACCGCTCAGCAGCCCCCGGGGTGAGGTGGGCTCTGGGGACAAGCCCTCAGCAGGCCGAGCTGCGATGCTAGCCTAGACAGCGCAAGGAAGGTACCAGCGAATCCGGTTCTATAGATTTTGCACTGTAACCCTCGCGTGGGGGCGCCCCGCGGAGCCGACGCGCCCCCTGGCGGCGGGCGCAAGTCTGCCCAGCGTCGGGGAGGGCGCCCGCACCCCTCCTCCCCGATGCCGAACTGCGCCTGCGCGCCACCCACCGCGCCTGCGCTCTTCAGTCCCCGTCGCCGGTGCCAGCGCACCTCGCGTCAAAATCCTGGTGGGCGGTCGTCCGCAGCCCGGGTGCCCGAGTGTAGGGAACGTCCTGCGTGACTGCCCAGGACTCGCGCAGTGGCCAGGAAACGAACCCCACACCCGAGGCAAGCCCACACTCCGTGGTGCCCGGGGGGACGCTCAGGCCGGCGCGGAGACGGGGTTTCCCGCGCTCGCCTCCCGCCCCGCGCGGCTCCGCTCGGGGGTCCGGGGGCCGCAGTTGTGGATGCAGTCGGAAGGCACCCGGGGCTGTCGAGACCACGAGGGAGGAGCCGCCGCCCGGCAGGTGGGCGAGGCGCTGGACCCCCGGCCCCGCCGCCTAACCGGAGTCGCCAGCCTGCGGGGCGTTGCCAAGCTGCCCCGGGGCGAGCGGTCGGCCCCGGGGAAGGCAACTACCTAGTGGCTGCAATACAAGGGGACTTGAAAAAGTCCCTGGAGAACGGTGAAATTAAAAGGTGTAATTTTTTTGTTGCAGAAAGACTTTTTTTTTTTGAAATTTATACAGTTTTTTCATAATACACATTTCCCACGAGCTTTTTGAGACTCCTCTTATTACATGTAAGTTGGGTTATTACATATTTTTTCTTTATTTTATTACATATAAGTTATGTATACAAGTTGGGAACATATAATGCTCGTGTTTACGTGTACGCAGCACGTAAAAGGCTTTCATTCGCTTTGTCTCCACCGGCATGGTTAGATGAGAGGGAAAAACTTCCCTATTTCTTACGCTGGGCAAGAGCAATGACAATGGGTACGTTTAAGTTACAAGTCACACGTGGACGCCTCAGAAAGCAAAGGACCCTCCCTCCCTGTTATTTATATATCATATAATTTATATAATTAAGTATATAAAACAAATATGTAAGTTCTACATTTATAACCTTTTATGATCAGCAACACTTTAGGTGAATTGGTGTTTTTCTTTATTAAAAAAGAAAAGCGTTGAAATCATTTCCAATCCCCTAACGTGAAAATAGTTAATTTCTTTCTCTTGCTTTAGCTTACCTTTTCCCCACAAAGTGCCTGGAGGTTAGTTGTTTCTCCCTAACTGAACACGTGGTTGAGTTCGGCAGTTGCCCTGTGCAGTGCTTTAACGGAGTGGTCTTTCCTAATGCTCCAACAGTCTTACAAGTGCCCATATCAGAAACGTGGTAACTCAGAACATGCCGCTAGATTTAAATAGAGAGGTGATGGTTAAAATGAGAACAGTCGCGGGCATTCCCTGATGGGCTTTCTGCTTGCTGTTTGTTACATTCTTTCCCCTGAAGGCTGAGTGCCTTGCAGGGTGCCAGAGCTCTTCACCCACTGGACGGCTTCCAGTCCTTGCAAGTTCAGCAATGTCTCCAGAAATTCCAGCAGGCCAGCTCACTGATTCAAGGATTTTTAAAGTTTTAAAATCTCGAGACTGTGCTGAAAAGAGGCTGGAATAAGAGATGGGGTTGATGGTTTTGGAATTTTCACTATAATCATATTATCTGTGTCTTCTGGCAGACAGGTTATGGCTTTACAAGGATCACTAAGAAAAGAAAAATCCTCGTTGCAGTTAATGCAATAATTAAATGGAAACTGTATGTTTAAATCGCAGATAGAGTAGGAAATTAAATTACATGCGAAAGTGTCAGAGATTCGGACAAGTTTTCATACTGTTAATAAATCTATGCATAATTCATTTTCTTGTGGGCTATGACAAAATAGCCTAAATAGCTTCATCTGTAAGACTGCAGATTTTTCTAGTCTTAATTGGGTGATGGCGAAAACCATTTAAGTGCTTCAGGATGGCTGAATATATAAATGTTTAAAATGAGCAGTTATAATGGGTTTCTAGGCAGATTTGTTTATTTAATATTACTGCATTTATTTTTCAGAGACTAGCATAGCACAGATGTTGCATTAAGGTCACACTCAGCATGGTGTGAATTTGTTATAATGCTTAGAAATTTGTTATGATACTTAGAAAAAGACATTAACACTACTTTTGGAGAAAGCATTCTGATGCTTGTTATCAGACACTTTATAAACTATCCCAATTCATGCTCCTGATGGGTCAGAAGGCCAGTACATCAATCCCGCTGGCCTGAAGAGGAAACAGGCTCACAGACATTGGGTTAAGTTAGCCCACAATCACACAGTAGGTCTGAGCCAGGTATTTCAGCCCTGAAATTTGCATTCTTTCCACCATCTGCAGCCCCACACCTTATGCACTGAGTTTAGTTTAGCACCCAGACATCTGAGAACCAAGCCTGCGTTATAAGGAGGTTATTTCTTATGGTAGCAGTGGCTATAGTGGCTGCTAGTGGCTGTGCAAAAACCATTGAAACCCACTGTCACCCTCACACCCAGGAGCCCACTTTTGGTGGTTGCAAGGCTAGTTTAAAGGGAGAGGGACAAGCCACATAGCCCCCTCAGCAAGGAATAGGGACATGTTGTCCTGAGCAGCTTAGGGCTGTATCTGCTCTGGATTGTGCTTCTTACCAGAAGATAATACTGTAGGATTTCTGCAAGCACAGAGCATGTTTGTTTATATGATGGTGTCTATCCATAGTGGGTAGAAAACTAGTTCAGAAAGTGCTTGCGCATTAACTGGGTAAACCGCGGATTGTCACCAGTCATCCAGAGACACCTGCTGATTGTTCAGAAAGGCACAGGGGGGAGAGAGGGGCGGAGGCAGGGCTGCAGTGGCTCTGAGGCGGACGGTCTGCCCCGCTGTGTACTGGCTGTGGGACCTCCGGCAGGGCTGTGCCTCTCCTTCCTGCTCTCATGCCACAGCTCAGGGACAGCGGTGGCTCTCTCAAAGGGCCCTGTGAGGGCCAAGGGAGATGGCTTTACAGCACAGCTGGTGGACCTTTGCCACTCAGCGGTTATGGAACCTTCCTGCTGCCCCTGGGAAGATAAATGAGAAGTTAGTGTGGGCATTGGGCCAGGGAGTCCTAGATTCAGGACAGTGCATTCCCTCTTCTGAGTGCTGGTTAGTGGCACATGTGTACTGGGAATTTCTTTGTGTGTTGCAGGCGGGGGTGGTTGTTCACTGGCCATTAATAATAATTCTGTCCTTTAGGGAAATGATCGCCAGTCTAAGTCAACCATTGGCTCCAGCGACAACTCATCTCCTCAGCCCCTCAAGAGGAAAGGGAAGAAAGAGGACGTGAGTTCAGAGAAACCAACAACAGTGAAACAAAACGTAAAGTTGCAGAATTCACAGCAAACAGTTCCAAGCAGCGGTAAGTCTGTTGTTACTATTCCTTTACTCTTCTTGGTTACTGTCACCTTAAGGCCGCTACAATACAATTTCTCTTTAAAGATTTATTTTGATTTATTTTGAGCCGCGCCACCTGCGGTGCTGGCACACCGGATTCTAGACCCAGTCAGAGCGCCGGATTCTGTCCCGGTTGTCCCTCTTCCAGGCCAGCTCTCTGCTGTGGCCCGGGAGTGCAGTGGAGGATGGCCCAAGTGCATGGGAGACCAGGAGAAGCACCTGGCTCCTGCCTTCAGATCAGCAGCAGCGCACTGGCCTCAGTGGGCATTGGAGGGTGAACCAACGGCAAAGGAAGACCTTTCTCTCTGTCTGTCTCTCTCACTGTCCACTCTGCCTGTCAAAAAAATAAAAAAGATTTATTTATTTATTTGAAAGAGTTACAACAGATAGAAAAGGAGAGGGAGAGAGAGAGAGAGAGAGAGAGAGAGAGATCTTCCATCTGCTTCACTCCCCAGTTGGCCACAATGGCCAGAGTTGTGCTGATCCGAAGCCAGGAGCCAGGAGCTTCTTCTGGGTCTCCCACGCTGGTGCAGGGGCCCAAGGACCTACACCTCTTCCACTGTTGTCCCAGGCAATAGCAGAGAGCTGGATTGGAAGTGGAGCAGCCCGGTCTCAAACCAGCACCCGTATGGGATGCTGGCGCTGCAGGCGGTGTCTTTACCCGCTAAACCACAGCACTGGCCCCAGTACAGTGTTGACTCGTACGTAGATCTTCTGTTTCCCTGGCCTGCGGGGGACATTCCGTAGCGTCCTGAGAGTTTGTATCTCAGAGACGCTGCTGTTCCTCAGGCTCAGTTTCTGTTTGTAATTAAGTGTTGTGGTATGAGGACACTTGTTTGGAGGTCAGATACCTCTTGTGGCAGTCATATAAAGGGAAATTTTACCATCCTCTGCTCCCCTGATAGCCTTTGATTAGCATTTTCACCCCCATACTGACCTTGGTCTCTCGTCACATTCGTTGTGAGTTACTTTTAGTCACAGATTGCCTTTCCTGAAGAGGTGTTTTGTTAATTTTACAGATACCCAAGAGAATACTAAGCCCACACAAAACTTTACCAGTAAACCATGCCATATGCACCAAAATTAGTTGTGTAGTTTTATCTTGGTCATTAATGGGATGAAATAAATTTTTTAAAAATTGCATTGGTCTGAGATTTCGTTAGTGCAAGATAAAAGCGTGAATGTACGTGAAGGGGTTGTGAACTTTCGCATTAGGTTTTAGCGAAGGGGGGAGATTTTGGTTTCATTCCCAATGTTCTCGGTGAGAGTGGAGGGAGGCTGAGGCCAAGGGGTTGGCTGGGAAACAGACCACTGCGGTGACTCTCCCCACTGCTGCACCCCGCCCTGGAGTCCACTCACACACCTCCCCAGCGGAACAGGAGGCCTAGGACGAGGGTGAAGGGGCGAGTTCACATTCACGGACGCGGCCTCAGCTCAGCGTAATTCCTGAGTGGACTGAAGAGTCTCGTTAGGAGACAGGGTGGACTCTGGAAGCTACACACGTGATAAAAGATACGTAAGAGGAGGTTGAGAGAGCACGCTAAGTGGATGAAACAGCTCTGTGGACAAGATCGTGGAAGGAGGTTAGTTGGACGTCAAGGATTCACGTGACGGAGACTAGCCTGAAGTCAGGGCTGCTAGATTCTTGTCCCAGGTCAGCTGTTGAACTTGGAGAGCACACTTTACTTTCTTGGGCCCATTATCTATCTGCAAAATGTGGGTTCCTATTAAGATTTGTCTTTCAAGTTTTGATTATAAATCCTTTCCAGTGGTCAGGAAATGAGCAGGCAAGGGTGTATTTTCCTTGGGTGTCTGTTACGTGGCAAAAACTAAAGAGAAGCAGTTAGCATGGAAGAACATGCCATACCTGGAGAAATTAAAGCCCGTAGAGGCTTTATTATTTTAATCAATACATATGAACATAATAATGTGAAGGGCCCAGGGCATAGGCTGTGTGTAATGCTTTTTTTTTATTTCCAACATTGGTGTAGATGTGATAGTTTTGAAGCATTTAATAATTGTTGAATGAATGGATAATAGGAGTTAAAAAATAAGTAAGTTCACAATACTTTCAAGTCTACTAAGACATAGGACTTGTTTCAATGCTTTTGTGGGTTATTTTTTATTAAGAGGCTCTTATTAACTTATGGAAATCCCAATTCCTACTTGCAGTACAGTTTTTTGTTTTTTGTGTGGTTTTTTTTTTTTTTTTTTTGACAGGCAGAGTGGATAGTGAGAGAGAGAGACAGAGAGAAAGGTCTTCCTTTTGCCATTGGTTCACCCTCCAATGGCCGCCACGGCTGGTGCGCTGCGGCCGGCGCACTGCGCTGATCCAAAGCCAGGAGCCAGGTGCTTCTCCTGGTCTCCCATGGGGTGCAGGGCCCAAGCACTTGGGCCATCCTCCACTGCCTTCCCGGGCCACAGCAGAGAGCTGGCCTGGAAGGGGGGCAACCGGGAAAGAATCCGGCGCCCCGACTGGGACTAGAACCCGGTGTGCAGGCGCCGCTAGGTGGAGGATTAGCCTATTGAGCCATGGCGCCAGCCTGCAGTACAGTTTTAAGAAGTTTTTGGATTCAGTACACCTCAAGAAGAAGGACGCTCACCTTTCAGATTTCTCCTTAGTAGAAACCTACGGACACAAGAGGCTGTGTTCACTTTGCCCTTGCTCATTGGGAGATAACCTTTGTTAAAAGTCAGATTACCAGTATTTTTGCTCTTGTAGAAATTTACAAGTCATTTTGAACAACATTTGTATCTGTGGGCATAAAAATAACAAAGGGGTGTTTGAGATCACAGACAGTCACATCTTACAAATGCTGGGAAAATGTAGACACACCCAGCTGTTGTGTCCTTGTTGTTGGAGAATCCTGCGGGCCTTTCGGTAAGTGGCCATCTTAATGGTATTTCCCATGCAGTTTGATAACGTGCAGACTGTAGGTTTTTAAAATGCTGGATCTCATGGATATGAAGTAGGCAGGCATACAGGTTAAAATTGATCAGATTTATGAACTGGAAGACCACGCCCCTGTGTGGCCTCATGTTCCTACCTGATGCCTTTGCCACACCCCTGTGTGGCCTCATTCCCCTACCTGGCCACACCTGGGTGCCCACCAGCCAATCAGGTTAATTAACCACTCCCCTTTGGAAGTGGGTTAAAAGCCAGGACAAGGTGTGGCCCGGCCTGCTCTTTTTCCCTGGCCTCTTGCTTAGAAGGGGTTTGCTGTAGCTCCGCGCCTCCAGGGCACATGGCCTTCCCATGTGCCCTAGGCTTCCTGGCCTAGATGCTCATCCACGTGGCTGGTTCCTGGTGCTCCATATGAACCCCATTCACTTCTCTCTCCTAAATAAAGCTCTCACTCTCTTATGCATCTTTCTCACTAAATAAAAGCTTAAAACGTACCATGCTGCCTTGTTTATCTGTGCCGGTATTTAGAATTCTTCTCTAAATATTAGGCAAGAACCCTCTTGGGCTTATTAATATCGGAGATTTAGTAGTAAGCCCGTGGTGAAATCGTATGGCTCCCCAAATTCCGGTAGTACTTGTGGCACCCCAGATAGCATTTCTAGGGAACTTTAAGGGGCCACATTTCAGTGTGAATTTTAAGGGGTCTTGTCCGATTTCAGTTACATCCAACAACCACTGGTGCCTTCCTTCCAAATGAAAGTTTTCAGGGACTGAATATTTTTCCTCCAGTAAGAGGCTTGTGCTGGGCCCCTGGAAGCATATTTAAATAAGAGTTTAGAGCAAGTATTTTGTATCTTTTCATCATGATACAAAGCACATACGACCTGCAAAAATGAATCTTGGCTTCCAAAACCAATTTTTTTCCCCAAGAAAAATGAAAAAAGATTTTGTGCAGTTCACTAAATGAGACTATCCCTTGATAAGTTTCAGCATTTTAGCTGAAATCTGTACTCTTGGAAATTGAGCTATTTCTCCTTAATAGTTCTCCACCCAGATGCTTTGGTTATAGACTTTTTCCAGTATAATATAAAAAAATCCTCTGTCTCGCTAATTCAGCCTTCATATGCATTTCCCATTGAAGTCACTTATTACTTTAATGACATCTCCTTTAGTCCTTGGAATCAAGTGTGTGCTTTTGGGTGTTCCCATCTCAAGAGGACTTTTTCTTTGGTAAGGTAAAAGTAAGAGCATTTGAAGCAGAGTGAGACTGAAGGTTGTGGAGAGTCAAGATAATGACAAAATAAAATGCAACAATTTGGTTTTAGAGATGAAACTTACGTAACATTTTGAGCTTAAAATATATTTAAAATTTGGTATTGGACTATTTAGTTTTATCCCAAAGTGTTAAATTGTAGGGCAACTATCAGGATTATTTTCTAGTATGTGTTAAGTTGTGCAAATGTTTGATCCAGTGTTCTTCAACGTCTAAACCAGTCTCATTTTAATTAGAAAAAAAGAGACTTCATAGGGCACCTTGATTCCTTTTTAATTATTGATTATACTTACACAATTTTCTTGTTTCCCTGCTAGTATTTACTGATATTCAGAAATCAAATGCTGTCTGAGTGAGCAATGCTGAAGTCAGTCTGTAGATGGCAACCTGGGTCTAATTTTACTTCCATTTTTCTTTTTCTGTTTCTTTCTGTAATAGTAAAGCTTAATAATTCAAGCAGAGCAATGACATATTTCTTCAGGGAAACACATCCCATTTTCTTTTGGTAGCCAAGATGCAAAGTAAGATTGGTGGGTGATTGATGAAATGCATTTTTAGTGCTGCATCTAAATACCAGTGTAAGTGGCCAGCGAGTGTTTCCACTGGGCTTCCCCCTTGCCTTGCAGCGCCTGCCGACCTGTTTCAAAGGCTTTGCTGGCTGCACTTTTCACTATGAGCAAAATAGTGTCCATGATTGTTTTCAAATAGCATTTTGGAGGATTGTTTATATTAATTGGTGTTATTAATATTTGGTGTATGAAAGAGATTTAGCGTTTGTAGAACCCTG